TGAAGACAGCGTGGTGTGGTCTGATTTCTTCACTTTGACAAGAGACTGTCTCTGTGGTCTCCCATCACATCACTGACCAGGCCCTGTCCCGCTCGGTTTCTTGTTCCCGTCATGCTGGTCCTGCTGAGACACTGCTGAAACTGCTGCTGTTGAATATTTGATGGACTTCAGTGAATTTGCTTTTGTTCGACACGACGGAACTTTCACTCACGATCGATGAGAGCACTTAGAGCGGCAACCTCCGCTCAAAGCTAACTCTGCCGTTTCAGCTTGAAAGGTATAACAATGATGGTTTAAGACGTCAAATTATGTCAAATTTGTCATGAGGTGAGATGATGTAGGACTCAAAATTGCAGGAATGCCAAAAATAAGGGTTTATTGATAAAAAAAGTCCAGATGAAACCAACTCAAAATCCAAAACCAAAACAGGACCAGGAACAGGACGGAAACAGACAGAGACATGAACAAGACAAGACAGGACGTTGACAAGACAATGGACCAGCACAAGGGGAGAGGAGCGCAGGGTACAAATAGACACAGACACAGGTGAAACACATCAGGGCAGGGCAAACAATCAAGACAGGGGAAACAGGACAGGAAGTCAAGCTAAAACTAATTCACAGATAAGATGTCAAAATAAAACAAAAATACAAAAATAAAATCCACACCATAACAGTACCCCCCTTCCAAGGGACAGCTCCCAGATGTCCCAAGAAAAGCAAGCCAGGGAGGGCGGAGGGGGTCCGGCGGAGGGACCAGAGGCAGCTTAGAGGCTGCATAAACCTCAGGTCCCAGGCAGAGTCCAAACTAGGAGCAGAGGCTGAAGCCCAGCGGTGACCTTCCATCAGGGAACTGGCTCACCCCGGACGGACACAAATGCCCGGCGGTGACTCAGACAGGACAGAACCACCCCAGACGGAGAACCATGTCTGGCGGTGGAAACAGGAGAAGGGTAGGAGAGGTCATCGAAGTGCAGCAGCAGACACAGGCGAGGAAATCCAAGCAGACATAAACCATCCAGGCAAGAGCAGAACGTCACTGTAGACCTCTCAACAGGTCAGGGGGGGACAGAGGACCACCCCGGGCGGAGACAAGTGCCCGGCGGTGGTACGGAGGGAACACCACCCCAGACGGAGGTACTTGTCTGGCGGTGGTACCAGGTAACGGGTTGAGAGGTTGGCAGTGATGAGATGGTGAAAGAATAAAAATCTTACAGGTTGCGATGAACAGGGAGCAGGTGTGTGGTAAACGGCATTCCGCTGAGTCCTCTTGTTGGCTGGTCCATTCTGTCATGAGGTGAGATGATGTAGGACTCAAAATTGCAGGAATGCCAAAAATAAGGGTTTATTGATAAAAAAAGTCCAGATGAAACCAACTCAAAATCCAAAACCAAAACAGGACCAGGAACAGGACGGAAACAGACAGAGACATGAACAAGACAAGACAGGACGTTGACAAGACAATGGACCAGCACAAGGGGAGAGGAGCGCAGGGTACAAATAGACACAGACACAGGTGAAACACATCAGGGCGGGGCAAACAATCAAGACAGGGGAAACAGGACAGGAAGTCAAGCTAAAACTAATTCACAGATAAGATGTCAAAATAAAACATCCATCCATCCATCCATTTTCTTCCCCTTAATCCATTTCTGGGTCGGGGGGGTGGCAATCAGAGCTGCACCCAGTACACATAGCACCAGCCCCTCACTGATCCTCCTGCAGGTGGTGGGTTCACAGGAGCTGAGATCTTTCAGTGGGAGCTTCAGGCAAAGTGGGGTTAAGTGTCTTGCCCAAGGACACAACGACAGCAGTCATCAGTGGGAGTCGTGAAGTAGGTCTTATGGTGGGCTTGAACCCACGACCTTCAGGCCCAAAGGCCAATGCTCTACCAACTGAGCTACTGTCGCCCCAAAATAAAACAAAAATACAAAAATAAAATCCACACCATAACAAAATTATGTCAAATGGTGTCTGTGTGACGAGAGAGAAAAGCTCAGAACTCATTCGGACACAAAGTATTCATTTAAAAATGCAGAAAAAACCTCCAAAGCGCTGTGATGAAACAGACAGATTCAAAACAGAGTGTTTTGAGAGGGGAGGGGACCAGTTTGCAAAAATGATAGTGTGAGTGGAGCTAAAAACAACTAGACTACTACAAGAACTGTTTTAGGCCTGCTTTAGACCTCCTTTGGACCTGCTTTAGGCCTGCTTTAGTCCAGCTTTAGGCCTGTTTTAGACCTGCTTTAGACCTGCTTTAGACCTGCTTTAGACCTGCTTTAGTCCTGCTTTATATCTGCTTTAGACCTGCTTTAGACCTGCTTCAGGCCTGTTTTAGACCTGCTTTAGTCCTGCTTTAGTCCTGCTTTAGACCTGCTTTAGACCTGCTTTCAACCTGCTATAGTCCTGTTTTAGGCCTGCTTTAGACCTCCTTTGGACCTGATTTAGGCCTGCTTTAGTCCTGCTTTAGTCCTGCTTTAGTCCTGCTTTAGTCCTGCTTTAGACCTGCTTTAGACCTGCTTTAGACCTGCTTCAGGCCTGTTTTAGACCTGCTTTAGACCTGCTTTAGTCCTGCTTTAGACCTGCTTTAGACCTGCTTTCACCCTGCTTTAGACCTGCTTTTGTCCTGCTTTAGTCCTGCTTTAGACCTGCTTTAGTCCTGCTTTAGTCCTGCTTTAGTCCTGCTTTAGACCTACTATAGTCCTGCTTTAGTCCTGCTTTAGACCTGCTTTAGACCTGCTTTAGTCCTGCTTTAGACCTGCTTTAGTCCTGCTTTAAACCTACTATAGTCCTGCTTTAGTCCTGCTTTAGACCTGCTTTAGACCTGCTTTAGTCCTGCTTTAGACCTGCTTTAGTCCTGCTTTAGACCTACAATAGTCCTGCTTTAGTCCTGCTTTAGACCTGCTTTAGACCTGCTTCAGGATTGTTTTAGACCTGCTTTAGTCCTGGTTTAGTCCTGCTTTAGACCTGCTTTAGACCTGCTTTAGACCTGCTTTAGTCCTGCTTTAGACCTGCTTTAGTCCTGCTTAAAAAAGTCCTGAGTAAAACCTGGTATAGATCCGTCTCAGGTCCGAGCGCTGGGACCAGATCTTAAATTAGACGATAAAAGCTTTTATTCTAATAATAGATTGTGATTCGTTCAGGACCATTGCTCTGATGATCCCATCTGTCTCCACCAGGGCGGGGACTGTGAGTTCATACGGTTCAGTCTGTTTTATATCTATTTATTGATTAATTGTCACTGAAGTCGTATTAAAAAAAACAAGATTTATTATGTATATGGGCTTGTTCACGCTAAATGGCACAAAAGTTAGATTTTAATCATCAGAAATTATGTTTGTCTTTTTATCCAAATACCTCTTCTGTCCATTAGTAGTTGCTAAAAGATAACTGTGGTATACATTAGTCACAGGACTCTGGTCTCTCTCTCTGGTCCCTCTCTCTCTGGTCCCTCTCTCTCTGGTCCCCCTCTCTCTGGTCCCTCTCTCTCTGGTCCCCCTCTCTCTGGTCCCTCTCTCTGGTCTCTGTCAGACTTGTACAAAAGTGGCTCAAAAACAGACCCAAAATCAAGAAGCAGTTTAGAAGTTTTAATATCCAGGCGAAATACAAAAAACAGACGGGATACAGGCTCCAGAAAACAAGACAATCTGGCAACTGAGGCAAGGAGGACACAAACTAATATACACAAGGACACAGGTGAGGCACATCAAGGGTGGGGCAGTAATCAACAACAGGAAGTAAATCTAAAGAAAGGACAGGGTAGGGGGGACTTCAAAATAAAACACAGAACAGGACATGACAGTCTCCATCTCTGGTCTCTCCCTCTGATCCCTCTCTCTGGTCCCTCTCTCTGGTCTCTCCCTCTGGTCCCTCTCTCTGGTCTCTCCCTCTGGTCCCTCTCTCTGATCCCTCTCTCTGGTCCCTCTCTCTGGTCTCTCCCTCTGGTCCCTCTCTCTGGTCTCTCCCTCTGGTCCCTCTCTCTGGTCTCTCTCTCTGATCCCTCTCTCTGATCCCTCTCTCTGGTCTCTCCCTCTGATCCCTCTCTCTGGTCTCTCTCTCTGGTCTATCTCTCTGGTCTCTCCCTCTGGTCCCTCTCTCTGGTCTGTCTCTCTGGTCTCTCTCTGTTATAGGTATAGATGTGTTTTTATACATAGATTGAGATTTACAGGAGAGAATTGATTTTCTAATGTTGTTTCCAAACATCACTGGATAAATAATGCAGCAGATTAAATTTAGAAAAACCTCAAATGGAATCTACCGTCTGAGCACAAACTAAAATCATAAATGATGTACAAAACCCGTGGCGACAGTGAGGAATCCTCCGGGCTCAGATAACTGTTCACTTTGGAATATTTGATGAGAAATATGTGTTTGTGTGTCAGTGAGATGAGAGACTGCAGGAAGTGTGAAAGCAGTGGGAGACGTGTGAGAGACTTGCTTTAGTCCTGCTTTAGTCCTGCTTTAGACCTGCTTTAGACCTGTTTTAGACCTGCATTAGACCTGCTTTAGACCTGCTTTAGTCCTGCTTTAGTCCTGCTTTAGACCTGCTTTTGTCCCGCTTTAGACCTGCTTTAGTCCTGCTTTAGTCCTGCTTTAGTCCTGCTTTAGACCTGCTGTAGACCAATTTAGTCCTGCTTTAGATCAAGTTTAGTCCTGCTTTAGACCAATTTTAGTCCTGCTTTAGACCTGCTTTAGACCTGCTTTAGACCTGCATTAGACCTGCTTTAGACCTGCTTTAGTCCTGCTTTAGTCTTGCTTTAGTCCTGCTTTAGACCTGCTTTTGTCCTGCTTTAGACCTGCTTTTGTCCTGCTTTAGTCCTGCTTTAGACATGCTTTAGTCCTGCTTTAGACCTGCTTTAGTCTTATCTAGTTTTGTGAATGAATTCCTTTTAGGGGCTTGTGTGTGTGTGTGTTACTGGGGAAACAGAGGCATCCATTCATAATCATGTGAGCCACTGATAAAGTTTCTCCACACACTCTATAACTCCTGTGTTGTTTCAGTGTGTGGGGGAGGAGACCTGGGTGGACAGTCGGACCATCTACATCGGTCACAAAGCTCCGCCTCCGGGGACAGAGGCCTTCATCCAGCAGCGTTACCCTGACAACCGTATCACCTCCTCCAAGGTAACTGTGACAATAACATAAACAACCAGCTTCACGCCACCGCAATGACGCTAACTCTTTCGTGTTTCGTCTGCGCAGTACACCTTCTGGAACTTCGTCCCCAAAAACATGTTTGAGCAGTTCAGACGAGTCGCCAACTTTTACTTCCTCATAATTTTCTTGGTCCAAGTTAGTGGGCTACGGCATGGTCTCTCTCTCTCTGGTGTCTTTCTCTGGTCTCTCTCTTTGGTCACTCTCTCTGGTCTCTCTCTGGCCTCTCTCTGGTCTCTCTCTGGCCTCTCTCTGGTCTCTCTCTGGCCTCTCTCTGGTCTCTCACTGGTCTCTCACTGGTCTCTCTCTGGTCTCTAACTCCTGTTGTGTCCACAGCTGATCATTGACACTCCCACCAGCCCCGTGACCAGCGGACTGCCCCTATTCTTTGTCATCACCGTCACAGCCATCAAACAGGTGAGAACCAGATCTGGTATATCTGGTACAGAGGATACCAGAGAGACCAGAGAGAGAAATCAGTGCGAGAAACTAGAGAGAGACCAGGGGGAGACCAGAGAAAGACCGGAGAGAGACAGGGTTTAGACCAGAAACCAAAACAAAAAAACAAAACTTGATCACATGTCTAATATCAGCGTAGCTTTCCCATGCGATCTTAAATGCCTCTGCTGGTCTTGTCTCAGTTGGACCTGGTTTACGTGGTCTGGTTTTTCACTCCTCAGTGTTAGCACAGGTTTACCATGAATCTTGTTCAATATAAATAAACTGTACTAAAGCAGAGAGTGGTTTGTGAACACATATGTTTGTCTGTGCAGGGTTATGAGGACTGGCTCAGGCACAAAGCCGACAACTCCATCAACCAGTGTCCAGTTCATGTGGTCGACAACGGGAGAGTGACACGCAAACAGAGCCGCAATCTGAGGGTCAGACACACTCACACACACACACAGACACGCTCACACACACGCACAGACACACACACAGATGCACATGAACATGGTCAGACTGACCACATCTGGCAACAACAGCTGATAAAAGATGCGTCACACCATCACGTGTCACGTCTGATGAGGCAAAACATGTCAGAAAATTTTGTAGTACTAGCTTTCCTTACAGACAGACAGAAGAAGTGTGTGTGTCTCTGAGTGTGTGTTTGTGCACACACTCAGAGACACACACACTCACACCAAGCCCCGGCGATCCAAGATGACACCGTATTCAAATGATTGGTTTGTGCTCAGTGGTGCATGTGTTAGCATTAGCCGAACTCGCCCATATTTGGGCATCGTCTGGTCCTCCCGATTCTGCGCAATGGACGAGCTCCCATGATGCGTTGCGCTAAATACGCATGTGGCTCTCATGCACATGCACAGAGGGACTTGGCCGTGCTTTGACCAATCAGTGCTGCTGATCAGATCGGAGCTAGAGCGGGAAGCAACGAGCAGAGTTTGTGGCATTAAAGTGTGGATTTAAAGAAAACCAATACATTTAAGAAGAAAAAAAGTTCAGGATGACAAGGGACACAAAAATCCCCACAAAATCCGACCTTTATGAATGCTGTGGGTTCTCTGCCAGCTGAGGTCTCGCTGTTTTAGTTTACATTGAGTTTTATGGGGAAAATGTCTGGGTAGCCCACGTGAATTTAGTCTCTTTTAGTCTGCAGTACCGCGAGAATCCCCCAAGCACATGGGTCCTTCAGCTCCAAGCTAGTAATACCCTTTCCAGTTATTATAATAGATCCATGATACATACATACATACACACACAAATACACACACAGACACGGACTCTCTCACCCCTCTCACCCCCTCACCCACACACTCTCACAGAGAGACACACACACATACACACAGACATACAGTAGACACACACTGACACACACACACAGAGACATACTCACATAGACACATACACTCTCACTCTTCTCTCTCAACCCTCTCTAATCCCTACTTAACCCCTCACTTACCCCTCTTTCACCCACCCCTCACCCCTCTCTCACCTCTCCCCCCTCTCTCGCAGGTGGGGGACGTGGTGTTTGTGAAGGAGGATGAGACGTTTCCTTGCGACCTCGTTCTTCTGTCCACGTCCAGACCCGACGGCACCTGCTTCGTCACCACTGCCAGTTTAGACGGAGAGAGCAGCCACAAGGTACAAGTACAAGTACTACTGCTACTACTACTACTGCTACTGCTGCTGCTGCTACTATTACTATACTGCTGCTATTGCTATGGCTACTAACACTGTCGAGAAATGAAAACAGGCAGCAGTGATCTGCAACACGGTTTATTTTCGAGTTCTTCCCATAGACTGTATATATTAACGGACAGAGTCACGCCTATCTCCGCCGTTCTAACTAATGGGCCAAAAAATGTGCTTTCATGGAGCAATCCAAAATGGCCGCGAGTGGTCCCGCCCAGAAGAAAATTGTGAAAAAACGCATCTGCGCATGCGTCAGTCGTCGCAACTCCATTCATTTGAACGAGAGACTTAAAAAATTCACAGCAAGTAAACTAGAGTGGACCAAAAAAATCCACCCCCCTCAGCATTGACACACATGTGGAACGGAGCTTTGGGCCAAGAGCCAACTTTCGGTCCATCCTGTAAAGACGTTTTTGAGAGGTCAGCTAATGCTATATGTTAGCATTGGCTAATTCTACTTCTGGGTCCACCCCCATCGGCCCGGGGTGGTATTGCAAGCATGTCAGCGCACGTCATTTTGGCCACTTTTGAGCTGGGACCCGCCCCCACTGGTTCTTCCAGAGCAAACCAAAGGGGAAGCTTTTTATATGAAACTAGTGACAGAAGCAACTGTTTTAGAGCCAGGGAGCTCAGCTTTAACCTCATCTTAAACCTCAGCTTTAACTTCAACTTTAACCTCAGCTTTATCCTAAACCTGGCTGCACGGTGTAGCACTCTCGCTTCTCCGCAAGAAGGTTCTGGGTTCGAATCCCGGTCGGAACAGGGCCTTTCTGAGTGGAGTTAGCATGTTCTCCCCGTGTCTGCGTAGGTTTTCTCTGGGTACTCCAGTTTCCCCTACCACTAAAAAGAGTGAATGAGTGTGTGTTTGTGAGTGCAAATGTGGGACAACGGATGCAAATTAGCCCAAGGCTACAATCCGGAGTGATGTGTTCATTAACATGTACTGTCCCAACCAAATGAAAAAAAACTAATCTTCATCCTTAGCTTTAACCTCAGCTTTATCCTCAGCTTTATCCTCAACTTTAACCTCAGCTTTATCCTCAGCTTTATCCTCAACTTTAACCTCAGCTTTATCCTCAGCTTTATCCTCAACTTTAACCTCAACTTTAACCTCAGCTTTATCCTCAGCTTTATCCTCAGCTTTAACCTCAACTTTATCCTCAGCTTTAACCTCAACTTTATCCTCAGCTTTATCCTCAGCTTTAACCTCAACTTTATCCTCAGCTTTACCGGAGGAGTTCTACGTTAATCTAGCAGTCTCTGGCAGATAAATCTCCTTTTCAAGGACCTGGTTCAATACAATACAATACAATACAATTTATTCTTGTATAGCCCTAGGTCACAACAGAAGTCATCTCAGAGGACTTAACAAAACCATTGAAATCACCAACACAGGTCAGAGAATCAACAGTTAAAACACATGAGGAATATAAAGCACACACAGAAGAAAATGTCCATACATGTTGTAGAATGCTAAAATGTCCTGATCATCACCAATCCTTTCTGTTGGACACTAACTGTCCAACAAGACCCTCCTGCATCGACAAGGAAAAACTCTTAAAAAACCCAGTGGGAAAAAGTGAGAAACCTTGGGGAGCACTAGGGAAACCCACAGGGAGGGAGACCCATATGAGAAAGGGATCCGCTCCTCCGGACGGACAGGCTAATGATCTAGGACCTAAGCTAGCTACAGAACGTGGACCAGTGGCCGCTGAACGTGGACAGGTCCGGTGCAGGACCGAAGCACTCCCAGGCGGGTCGGGCGGGGCAGTCCGCAGGTGTAGATGGAAGAGGCCAGGCTCAGAGATCCCGTCATCGTACCATGAAACAGACAATGGGACAACGGGTGAATAGCAATGAACAAACTACAGTCAGAATCCTAAAAATGCTAAACAGATAAAGTAGGAAGGAGGAGAGGATAGTGCTCAAGTTACCATACTTCTCCCAGCAAACTGACTCCCTATGCAGCTTGACTGACACTCTGAGGAGTTTAACCTTCTCCGAGTCTTACCTTCCTAGCCATATGCTAAACTAAAGAGGACTGTTTTAAACCTAGCCTTGAATAAAGAATAACATACAGCATAATATATAACATAATATACAACATAACACAATACATTATTGAATAATATATAACATAATATATAACATAATACAGCATATATATATAATATATACACTACATATTATATATTACCTAATTATATGCTAAATTAAAGTAAAGTGCTTTAAGCCTGGCCTTGAATGTGGAGACCGTATCTGCTTCCTTAACATAAATGGGAAGCTGATTCCACAGTAAAGGAGCTTGGTAGCTAAATGCTCTGCCACCAACAGTGACCTTTGAGACCTTAGGGACCACCAGACGTCTGGCGTTTTGTGAGCGCAACGCTCGACCTGGTTGATACGACACTAACGTGTCTTGGAGATAAGAGGGAGCCAAGCCATTTATGGCTTTATATGTTAAGAGTAGGATTTTAAACTTTATTCTGTACTCCACAGGGAGCCAGTGGAGTGATTTTAACACCGGAGTTATGTGCTCCCTCCTTTTGGTACCTGTTAAGATCCTAGCTGCTGTATTCTGAACGAGCTGGAAGCTCTTCAAAGAGGCTTTAGGGCACGCTGCCAGTAAAGCGTTACAGTAGTCGAGCCTTGAGGTGACAAACGCGTGAATGAGTTTTTCCGCGTCACTTTTAGGAAGGAAATTCCTAATTTTAGCGATGTTCCGTAAGTGGAAGTACGCCGTTTTAGTTGCTTGGCTTATATAAGCCTTGAAGGAGAGTTCTTGGTCAAAAATGACTCCAAGATTCCTCACAGTGTTACTGGGTATTATACTGACATTATCGAGAGTATAACCATCTGGTTAGTGAGGGAGTCACGCAGGCGCTTCGGACCGAGTAGGATCACTTCTGTCTTCTCCGGGTTGAGAAGTAGGAAGTTAAGAGTCATCCACATTTTAAGGTCCTTTATGCAGGCACTGAGCTTTTCTAGCTGATCTGTCTGGTTAGGCTTCATCGACAGATAAAGCTGTGTGTCATCTGCATAGCAGTGGAAATTAATTCCATGCTTTTTAATAATGTTTCCCAGTGACAGCATGTAGAGAGTAAAAAGAATCGGTCCGAGTACCGAACCCTGCGGCACACCGAATTCCACTCCAGAATAAGGCGACGAGTCCTGATTCACATTGACGAAGTGATATCGATCTGATAAATAGGATTTAAACCAGCCAAGGGCTGTTCCTCTAAGACCTATATCACATTCTAGCCTCTGCAGTAGAATGCTGTGGTCTATTGTGTCAAATGCAGCACTAAGGTCCAGTAGGACCAGCACTGACACTTGTCCATTATCGGCAGCTAGTAGTAAGTCAGTTCAGCTTGTTTTCCACTAGAAGAGCGAGTGCTAATTACCAACTGTTTTTGCTGTATTTCAGTTATAGTCACCAGTTTTAGCTCTTATTAAAAGTAAAGTAAGTATAAAATATTATCATAAATCTGAAACTAAAACCTGTTATTTTTGGGCATTCCTAAGGTTTGAATACGAGTAATCAAAACGACGCCTCCGCCTCAAAGTGTCATCATGTTGTTGATACTTTGACTTTGGAATATAGTGAAGGGCTCTGTGTCTACCATGACAAACACGACTTTCATTTGAAATTGGTGTGAAAGGAATAAACACAAGCCCCCACTGGGGCTTGTGGATTCTGGATTTGAGGACATAGACTGTACTTATATTTGAGGGGGGGAACAATGATTTAGCTATTAAATCTGAAATATTATAATTAACATTGTTAAGAAATGGGCAGCATGAGGATGAGCACACAGAATAAGGAACAGATGTGAGGAGCTGTAAATGCTTGGTAGTAACTTGGCCTCTAGCGCGACATGAATGTGGTATTACTTACTATCAGTAGTTTCTAGTACAAAAGAATGCCATGTACAGGCTCAGCTATTCTTGTATAGTGACAGCAGCAGGGAGGAATGACCTGCAGAACCTCTGCTTCTACCCTTTTCCTGTCATCACTTTTTTCCACATACAAAGTGTTGAATTTGAAATAAAATTCAATCTTTCTTCGAATATGAACCAAACTAAAGGACCTAATGTTTACAGCTCGAGCTTGAACCAGTTTTATTTTATTATAGGTTTTATTATAGGTATTTTCTTTCTCTTCGACCTTATCGATTGCAGGGTCAGCAGTCTGACCAGAGATGTGCAGACTTCTCTCTCCTCTCCACACTATTGATTCAGCTCATCCAGGGGAATTCTTTGTTGGTTCCTAATTGAGAAGAACAGATTATTCTATGCAAACTATGTCCGCTTTTTATACATTTGATTAAATTCTTCTGGTTCTTCAGCCTGACCCGAGTTTTTCTTCTTCTTAGAGTTTGAAGATGAGTACTGCTGCCCCTAACCACAGACGCGTCAAACCTGGAGGTGAGTGTGCGAGACTGGTCACGTAGACAGACCGCTGCATTTTTGAGAGTTATCAAACACTTATGGTACTGTGGCAGATGTGACAAACCACCAGATAGGAAACACAAGGATTTTGAGTTTGCAAATTGGTTTGAGTGTGCTACAAATTTGGCTTCATAATTCACTTTTTCGTTTTGATTGTAGTACACTGGTCCCTCGCTGTAACACGGTTCATGTTTTGTTTATCATCCACCATGTGTCTACCCCAACAACATCATTTTCAACTTCACCGCTAGTATAACATGGCCTTTATTTAGACTCCGCAGATGGTTCGGGTCTCTTTCTCTCTCCTGGTCTTCCTGCAGTCCACAGTCCTGCTTTTCCACTGTATTACAAATTGAGAAATACTCTCCTTCCACATCACCAGAATCGATTGGTTAAACAACGAGAATTCTACATTGATTTTAATGTTAATACGAACTGCGCTGTATCCCATCTGCCATTTCACAGCACTGCTTTTGATGCTTGTTCCCGTGGGGGAAGTTGACACACTTACCCAAGCTTGTGTGTGTTTATGCGATTGCCTGTGTGCGTTGCAGCCATAAAGCCTAGCATGGCGTCCAGTGGAATGACCGGCCCCAGCTCCCAAATCCCCGGTTTGTCTCAGACCCCGGACCTCTCCCCCACGGAGCGCACCAGCGGCAGGCGGGTGGGCATCTTTGAAAGCGATTCGGACTACGTCAAACTGGCCAAAGGGAGCGGGCATAAAGGTGAGACATGTATTTGGAGTGAGTCATGCATGTTTGACTCATAGTTTAAATGTTAGGAATCATCCATGCACGGAATTAGCTTTGCGCTGTAACAGGGACGGACGTGTTGCTAAGGCTAGCTGGAGTTTCCCCCATGAATGAAGGCATCTGATTGGTCATATCTGGATTTTCAAAGACAAAATCACAATATAAAAACCAGGATCCCAGAGAGCGATAAACCACAGATTTGATCTAAAATTGTTGAGTGTGATTCAAAGAGTGGGTAGAGTTTGAGCCAAATTTCACCTTGAGCACTTCCTTATTGGGCTTCATTAAGCTGGTTTGTGTAGAAATTTGCGTTGACAATGTTCTCTCCTCATTGTGTGTTTGTTGTGTTCCTTCAGGCCTGCTGAGCCACGACGCCGTTGATGATGCCCCGCGGAAGGCCTACTCTCCCAGCAACTTCTTTGGGAACAATGACTCCAACAGGTAAATCATGTGTGTGTCTGCACCAGGTCCTTTTGAACTGGTTTTGTGTGAGTGGGTCTCTGTGTCTCTGTGCTAACGCTGACTATAAGGACACCCCCGCCTCCACCACAGGAGCGAGCCCCCTTCTGCACCGGCTCTGGTTGAACTGAGTGGTTTTGTGCTTGCAGCAATGGCAGCTCTCCTGGCAGTGAGCCCAAAGGGAGGCAGACCCTCAGTGCTCCTTTCGGAACCGATAGTGAGGTGCACTGGGAGAAGGAGTCTGATAGGTTTTCTGGTAAACAGAAGGTGAACAGAACCGCAACGCGCCGAATCCCATCACCTCATTTCAGTTATTTTGGATCATTTTTTGCCCCCAATTTATTATTATTTTTGTCCAGGACTCTTCCATTTTCACTGACCAGACTGAAAACGCCATCGACCTAATTTTGTTGTCTTTTCTATGTCATGAGTTGTGTTTTATCCATCCCCATGTTTTCCTGCAATGGCCGTCCGAACTCGCCTGACGTCTCTCTCTCTCTCTCCTGTCTCTCCCCCCTCCCCCCACTCTCCTCTCGGTCTCCCAGGAGTCTCCCGATGATGCGGCCCAGCAGATGGAGGCTCTGTCCATAACCCACAAGTACAAGAGAACGTGAGGCCTAAGACAAAATGACTTGGATTACAGATATTCATCACATCTGAGTAGTTTTGACGTTTTCTTTCCTTTCTTAACCAGATATTGTTTAACGGGTTACAACTTGGATCCGAGTTCACCCGTGTAGTCCCTGTATAAACGTAAAGCCACACTCCTTATGGCACCAAAAATATGAAACAGGAGAGAACCAATCCCCTGGGACACATTCTGCTTGGAGGTTTCATATTGAGGCTTACTCACTGACATTTACTCAATAGAAACCCTCCAGGCTCGTCTATATAATATTGGATTTGAATAGCAGTTTTCTGTAGGTATTAGAAGTTTGCTGATGTACAGGATCTACCACAATCCTTAAGTTTGTTTTTGGACAGCACTGATTCCTTCTGCCGCTCCCGTTTGACCCACCGCTCCGGGTCAACGGCCAGTGTTTGCCTACCGTCTTCAGCAAGAACTTAGACTCACAGAGCGTACATTAGAGTGGACTGAGTGGACTCACCTTTAAATTCTATTGAGTTCAGTGACCTCCTGTTTTTTGTAAGCATTAGTTGCTTCCAGTATGTTCTCCAAGTGTCTATTGGATTTGTCCAGATACTCCAGCTGAGACTCCAGCTGAGATAGTTGTCTCCTGGTAAAGACAAGGATGGTGTGATAAATATGGCAACTCAAACTATTATAAATACACTCTTTCAAATGATAAGTTGTTATAACTTACTTGGTGATTTGCTTATACTCTTCAAACGCCTGAAATACACCTCCAAGTTCTGCCTGTTTCTGGCTCAGCTGATTTTGAAGTTTCTCGATTGCTGCGACAGATGCCACATCGACTGCCATTGAGGCTGCGAGATCTATCCACAATTCAGAAGGTTAATCTTGTAATTCAATGTACACACTTTTCTTACAAGATGGCGCCGCGGACGGTCGCCACAGCTCTACGCTGACCCCTGCCCTTTACGACCATTCACCCTACATTACTGTCACTTTACTGCACAACTGAATGTCTGTTGTGTGTAGTTAGTGCACTTGTATATAATAGTAATTTTAAGAAATGTTAAGAATGCTTTTTAATGCACGACTTATTTCTGTTTTTTCTCTTTCAACTTGTTTGCACTTTGAGGCGAAGCAAATTCTTGGATGGTGACCTCCCTGCTACTTATATAGGCATTACAAATAATTCAAAATCAATCTTATGGACTAACTTTCGGTTTTCTCAGCCTCCAGAGCTCTCTGAAAATCTGTGTCCAGCTCAGCAGACATTTGTGCCGTTTCGGTCTCCAGCTGAAGCAGCGAGTCCAGGGAGCGCAGATGGTGGTTCTCCTCCCGCAGACTGGCGTTCTCCGCAGACAATCGCGTCATCCTGGGGTTATGTTCCACCTACACAATATAGATTAGGAGATACTTTATTCGTCCCACAGTGGGAATATTTCAGTATTGCATCACCAAACACAAAACAGCAGAAATGAAGAGCACACAACACAAAAATAAAACAAATACGGTCCTGTTCAGTTACTGGAGTACATTACAAAACACAAGTACCTGGTTTCTTAAAATCTTGATTTCCTCTTTGAGTTGATCTATGACAGATTGGCTCTCTTCATTTGTAAATAAGTTCTGCTCAGCTTTCATTTTTTTCTCCAGCAGTGAGATGTAATCCTCTCGAATCAGGCGAAACATTTCTTTCTGATTCCAGGCTTCTTCAAGTTGAGCTACTTTCTCATGCAGCATCTATGAGTGAGGACATTCAGTTATCAGACTATTGTGAATACCATGGTAATATTATTCTCATCTGAAGGAGTACCCTTTTCTCCTCTTCTCGTCTCTTCCAAAGGCGAACTGCAGCCATAAACTTAGATTTGTAGTGGATCCTGTCCAGAGATTCACCCTTTTTCTCAGCTGTGAATTGACGGTCGGTTACGATAATAAAACCCATACAAACGTGTGACTATATAAAGCAGGGGTGTCAAACCTGTCCTCAAAGGGCCAGTGTGGCTGCAAGTTCCAGGATCCCAAGTCGGAGCACACCAGACACCAGATGAGTCCAGTTTTAACGTGAAGATATGAGGAAATGGGTGGAGTCTGGTGTGCTCCTGCTCAGTTTGTAACTAAAACCTGAAGCCACACCTTCAGGTTTTAGTTACAAGGTCATCCAGGGGCAGCATCTCTCTGAGGATCACCTGAGGCTAGTGCCATTGCAAGCTGCTCCTTTAACTTTTTCACTTCAGCTTGCAACTGTCTTACATTTCCTTGAGTGTCTTCATTAATGATGGCCTAAAAGAGTTAAACAGAGCAAAGAGAAATGAATCAATTCTCCAAACTCTCTTTTCCAGAATTTGCGTTAATAAATCACATACTTTGTTCTTGATCAACTTTGCTCTTTGGGCAAACTGTAAAGTGGACTGGGTTTCTCCAAAACACTTGGAACCGGGATGAACATTTGCTATAATGTACGTTTTGGCATTTCCACCAAGAGAGTCCTACAGAACAAACAAAAGAAAAATAGCAAAGTCTCAAGTGCCATTTACCAAGATATTGCAATGAAACACCCAGGCTCAAATACCTGTTTGGCATAATTAAGATCAAGTAATTAGCAAACAAAATAGAGGACTTTATTCATGTTTATAAGGATGATGGAGGCAAGCTAAAACAATACCTCACAACATCAAAACATTATTCTCTTACTCTTAATAAAAATGTGAGCTTGGAATCTCTGTAGCAAATATGGCGACTCTTTCCATGAGTCACGTCGACCAGAGCCATGATCACCTGACCCAGGCACATCAGGGAGCGGTTGATGCAGCTGGCCTCCTGTGGGCGGACAGTAAACATGATTCTGAAGAATATTCTAAATCACAATGTGTTTTCACAATTAATGCCTGAAGGAGAATGTTCAGCGTTTACAAAGGAAAGTTCTATTTGAGGAAATAAAAACAAAACAAAAAAACAAATTCAGACACAAAATATGAATCGCTTAAACCAATGATTTTGGTTCTATGGCACAACTGATGTTTCCATTAGTAATACTACAGCACTTAAGCTGGTACTGTTCGACATGTTTTCAGAGCTCTAACCGCTAGCATGTTTCTACATTACAAAATATAATGATGTGCGTAAAGGAAATGTGTTCATAATAGCAGAATAAAGGCACAATTCAGGGAAGCTGAAGAGCCAAACTTGATATCTCAAGTATCACACTCATATCACAATGATGTTCACTCATTTAAAATTATTTAGTATGAATCATGTCTCTTTCATATTTGAGGCCCAAAAAATATTTTGGTTTTCTCAATAGGAACTTCCTGGTAAAAAAATGTCATAATCAGCGGCTGTGTGATTCTGCAGCCCAATCGATTGCAGCGAGCAGAGGGTGCACCTTGAGCCTGGAGCCTTCAGTGTCCTTCTGCCGCTCGGATCCAGCCAGGTCCACCAGGTTCAGCTGAGACGTGCGGATGTTCACCACCTCGTTCAGCGACTCTTTGGACTCCAGCGTCATGGTGAAGACGGCATGGGACCGGGACGACTCGCGGTTCATGGAAGTGGAGGCTACTCTGCGGTTCCGCCATCCCAAAGACAAGACCTGTCAGAAGACGTCATAAGAGATCCATTAACATCAATAACACATTTTTGAAGCGATTATGGTTAAACCTAAGCTTGCCATTCTAAAACTATACAGAAGCCAGGGATTTTCCGCTTTATGTTTTGGTTACCTGAAGGTGTGTGTGTCTATGTTTTGTCTTCTCTAAAAAACTTGTAGAACTTTATTTCTATCAAAAATCAGACCAATCATTCTTGTACATGTTATGAATTCACTTGAAATAATTTGATACTGTAAGATATTTATAGAATGGTAATGTTATAGAAAATCCTACCCTAAACCGACGCTCTAAAAATGTGTCTTCCACATGAATTTTATTAATTGATCCTAGAACGCAAATGATAAGAGCTGATTTTGATAATCGATGAGTTGTTTGGGTGTCCAAAGTTCAGTAAATATGGGATTTTTTTCTACATTGGACCGAAACAAATATTAAGGTGTTCCTCCACATCATTCATAGAGATAACTTTTTGCACATTGGGTCATAATACATTATTTCTATTATTTGAGGGAGTGACAACTTGATTTGCTCAAATCATAGAAGATATGAAAAATATTTTACTCATTAATACTGACAATGAGTAAAATATTGTACAGTTCTCTGAAACGACTGCTATTGTGATTTAGAGCTGTACAAAAGTAAATTGCATTTAATTTTTTATCAAACAGCCCAAAGTGAGACCTTTTGGGATCCAAGCAACTAATTGATGATCAAATAATAGTGAATTACATGACTTGTGGATGTAATGGATAATAGAGGTACCTGGTAGGCCTCTGCAGCCGAGACGACAAATTTCTCCACGGCTCCCTCAACAAACACGTCCTTCTTGATATTCTCTCTGACGAAGAGGCTCGCGGAGGCAGTGTCCAGGAGATCATAGATCTGTTCATTGTATATTTCTATAAACGAGCATTTGCAGAGGAAACTCTTGGACTGTTGCGACTATAAGCGAGAGAAGAGAATGTAATGTATTGTCTTAGTATTATAAACTGTCGTATACCTCAATTGCAAAACACACTCACCCTTTCCACTTCCCGGTTAATGAGAAAAAACAGATATTCAAAACTGCGCGGTATTACTCCCCTCAACTGATCAGTGAAGTTATCCAACTCTGATGGACCTAAAAGTAAAAGTTGACGTTTAACAATTGCTGTTTGTTAATGGTGTATACTTTCTTATTATCATTATGGTCACCAAGCATTGTGAAAGTCTTTCCAGAGCCAGTTTGTCCACTGCAAAACACATAATTGTATAAGATTATTGAGGCATAAGTGATTTAATTACAGGATGCATCTTCACTATAACCTACTAAGCAAATATAGTGCCGTTATATCCATTCATGCAGGACTCAACAATGTTCTTGGCCACACAGGAAAAGACAGCCTCCTGAAAAAACGTTTGAAGTTAGTCTAGGAAACCTCAAGCATCATTGTAAAGAAATGTCTGACTCAACCTGAGTGGTGTCCATATCTGCCACATGATCATAAGTGAAAATCCGTGGCTGTGGTTTGGAGAAAAGCCGAATAGTGTTTGGTGAAGTAACACTGAGACACAGGCTCTGGTCTCCGTCTGTGGTGAGCCCCATGCCCTGGGTCAGAGGACGCACTCGCACAAACACTTTAATGGCATCACTGTCACTGTGGAGAAAATGACAATGACAATAACTAAAACTAATAACTTAAAACAGTAGCTATTATTACAATTAGATTAAAATTAGATGCATATAGCTAGAATTGAATTGTAATCTTTTTTTCAGGAGGGTAAGTGGCGATGCCAATGGAACGGCAAAGTGTGCGGAAAAAAGTGTACTTTTTTATTGCTGTAAGTGGGAAAGGTAGGGAAAACCAGAGCACCTGGAGAATATCTACTCAGAAAGGCCCTGTTCCGAACAGGATTCGAACCCAAGACCATCTTTCTGAGATGTGAGTGCCAACCACTCTGCTGCTTTCCAAACTAGCACAGTCACTTTGCCCCTGCATCAGGAAATTTCCATCCATCCTCTTCCCCTTAATTCATTTCTGCAGTCAACTGAGTGGCTGTCAGTGCTGCACTCAATCCAACTGTATAATCTATTATTGATGGTATAGTGCACAAATATATCTATAAATGTATAGGTATTTTTTGTAACATAACATTGATGCAGAGAGTTTAAGTCAAAACAAGGATAATAATGAAATACCAGTTATCTTTGATATAGCAATATTTTATCCATCAAAATGAATTCATAATTTGTAACAGGCCGGCCAATTATTTATAATGTTTGAGTTGTTCCGCAAATAACTGAATTATAAAATACTGATAATAAAATTGGTTAAATGGATTTATAAGAAGTAGAAATACCAGGCTATAAGATGCGATGAATCAGCTGCCCCTGTGTAAAGACAGATGGATTTTGATAGTTGGTTAGGTTATGGTTGTCAAAAGTATCAAACAATAGATCATCGTAAATGGTACAACACTCATCAAAAATACTACCATGTTAGTAAGTATCTTGAATCATGTATATTACATTAGTAGGAGTTTACAAGAGCTGCAGTTTAAACATGATTTTGAGCTATATCAGATCTTTGGGTTACAACTTGTAAAAATAGTTACATGTAAATGTCTCCTATGTGAGATAAATAAAGCACATCTTATCTTATCTTATCTTATCTTTGTGAATCAAATAAAAGGTAATTGTTCAAAACAAAAACGTTTTCAATGATCACTATGGTATAAAGTCAAAGGCACGGAAAGTAGTGACAACTGAATAAGCATGCAATTTACATGACGCATAGATTTTAAAATCACAAGAATATTTTCGTGAAAAGCCCAGCTACCATTATAGAGCAAACCCAAACAATACAATAGTTACATATCTCCAGCTCACTACAACATTCTAATCGTTCTATTTTATTAGATGCTGAAAGAAAATCCAGCTGGTGATGAGACATTAGACTTTCTAGGGGTTTTTAATGTAATGTCAACATAATTTCAATTGGAAAATATAACCTGGGCTGGATACGTGATGAGGTACAACTCGGATGCTCGGATAAGTGTAATCGTTTTCAATAGCAAACGTGTTATATCTAATTTTATAGATTACACATGGTTGAATTGATCAATACTACCATAGTGATCAATGCAAGACGCCAAAATATTGTGGACAAACGAATTCAGAGTAGGGAGCAGACAAACAAAACGTTATAAAGCCAATCATTTACAACAATGCCTGTGTGTGTTGTTGATAATGATTTTTGCTCTACACTTACTACACTGCTTCGTGCGGACCTTACCTTTTACGTTCGCAGTCATCTTGACAATAAAAACCGTTTAATGTGGTGAATAAACTGAATCTTGGCCTTTCCGTTGGACTCAGGCACAATGTTTACACGCGTGTCTATGGCAACAGTCTGTGTAGATCCAGAGCAGTAGATCCAGGACTGAGGCTCCAGTCAAAATGACGCACTGGAAGAACAAGTTGTATTTTTTATTTTACAAGTTTGTTTTAATAATAATTGTATTATTTTCTGTAATGTATTTTACTTTATTAAAATAAAGATAGAAATATAGAAAATTGTGCTGTACTTAATATCATCTTCTGCTGTGTCATCGTTCTACTGCTCTGTGACGCAACACTGACAGACCGTAGACTGTGATAGACAAATTAATAATTATTTGTCTATATTATTTTATTGACTTAATTGTCTGTGAGATAAATACAGGATATCTTCTTCATGTTCACTGTTTTTTCAAGATTAAACGTATTATTATTATTATTATTATCATTATAACTTTTATTATTATCATCATGTGAAGTGAAACCAAAACAGCCTGACGTTTGCCGTCCTCTTTCCACACAGCGCCCCCTGGCTCCCGCCTCAGTTGCAACAATGATTGCTTCACAAACAAACGCCTCATTTGAACTGATTTTAAGTGAATTTTAACTATTTTTATGTCCGGACCAAGCAGAGCGACATGAACCCGAGTCCTCCCGCGGCTTTGTGAGGTATAACCCCGGGGGAACGGTCTGAAAGAGGAGCTTTATCCCCGGAGCTAACGGCTACATGCTAGCGGAGCTAACCGCGGCTAACGGGAAGCTCAGGTCTGTCTCCAAACAATGCACCGTTCATGATAATAATTAATCTGTAATCAATTTTATACTTGCCTTTAATATCTACGAAGACACACATTGGATTTATTCGTGCTAGAAGTGCGTCTACAGGCTGGCTTTGAAGGATTTAAGTCTTAAATAACTTTACTTAAATAACAACAGCGATATTACCAAATGTATTGATTGCCGCTGTTTATGCAGACACAGCTTTGCAGCAGCTGTAGGAGGTCTGGAGGCTGTCACTGATGCAATAGGGGGAGGACATCTCAATCAGGTGACAGTTATCATCATAATATTGTAGTTTACCATCACACACGTGTTATTTTGTATGCTTGATGAAGTTCATAGACCAGATGCGTCATGTCCAGTTTTCCGTGGTCCCTGAGGATCCAGAGCTGATTAGTGTTTTAAACTTTAACTCACAGGTTCCGTCACCGTAGCAACGCAAAGCCGGCCACCATAGCAACATACAACTCGTCACTGAGCACAAACTTACAGTTAATTGCATAATATCACTTTTAAAGCTCTAATAAAGAGCAGGATGTGGAGTTAAGCACGATCTATATTTACTGTTTTGTAAAATTCATAATCACAATCTTTTTTATCTATTTTTTTGTTTTGTTTATTTGTTACCATATGCAAAACTAAAGTATTGCACAGTGCTGAGGCAGTATATTGCACCTTGAGGCTGTTGTGTTTCCAGGTCATGTCTTATAAAATCCCCAAACGCACTCGCTCTGACTCGGACTCTCTGCAGATGAAGTCTCCTCTGTCCAGACTGAACACACAGAACCAGGTGACCACATCACTTGGTGATAAAGCTAGGGACTGTCATTTTAGTCACATAAATAATACATGTTTATTGCTTGGTCTGTAACTTTAGTCTCATAGATAACACGTTTATAGCTGGGATCTGTAACTTATGGTGCGTTCAGACCAAACATGTGTTAGCAGACAAGACAAACGTATTTATTCAAGTAAAAAAATAAAATAATAATAATCAATATTGTTATCGACCGATATGAATTACTTATATTGTGATATAGTTTTCAGCCATATCGCCCAGCCCTAGTGTAGAGGCCTCAGTGGAACAACAGCGTCTTGCAGAATAGGATTTCAATATTTCAAACAGGCATGAATGATGCTAAAAACGACACATATTTGACTTGTTTTTTGTTCTTATTTTAGGTCACCTTGAAGATCGGGTTTATCTTCCCTTCCCTCCGCAGGGTTTCTATCCCCCGCAGGTGGTCCTCCCTCCGCAGGGTTTCTATCTCCCGCAGGTGGTCCTCCCTCCGCAGGGTTTCTATCCCCCGCAGGTGGACTACCGTCCGCAGGGTTTCCATCCCCCGCAGGTGGACTACCGTCCGCAGGGTTTCCATCCCCCGCAGGTGGACTACCGTCCGCAGGGTTTCCATCCCCCGCAGGTGGACTACCGTCCGCAGGGTTTCCATCCCCCGCAGGTGGACTACCTTCCGCAGGGGTACTACCGTCTGCAGGGTGTCTATCCCCCAGAGGTGGACTACCTTCCGCAGGGGGACTACCGTCCGCAGGGTTTCCATCCCCCGCAGGTGGACTACCGTCCGCAGGGTTTCCATCCCCCACAGGTTGACTACCGTCCGCAGGGTTTCCATCCCCCACAGGTGGACTACCTTCCGCAGGGTGTCTATCCCCCACAGGTGGACTACCGTCCGCAGGGTGTCTATCCCCCACAGGTGGACTACCTTCCGCAGGGTGTCTATCCCCCACAGGTGGACTACCTTCCGCAGGGTGTCTATCCCCCACAGGTGGACTACCTTCCGCAGGGGGACTACCGTCCGCAGGGTTTCCATCCCCCACAGGTGGACTACCTTCCGCAGGGTGTCTATCCCCCACAGGTGGACTACCTTCCGCAGGGGGACTACCGTCCGCAGGGTTTCTATCCCCCACAGGTGGACTACCTTCCGCAGGGGGACTACCGTCTGCAGGGTCTCTTTCCCCTGCAGGTGGACTACCCTCCTCAGGGCTTCTACCCCCCGCAGGTGGACGACCCTCAGCTGGTGGTTCTCCCTCCGCAGGCGGATGTTGTGGATTCTGATGTTCAGCCTCCCTCCCCCCCTCTTTCTTCACCTCCTGATTCTCCTTACTTTCTTTGTCCTTCCCCAGCACCTTCCTCTCCGGTTCCCACGTCTCCCTCTTCTTCCTGCTCTTCTGATTTTTCCGCCTCAGATTTCCAGAGCCCTGAGGAGTTCCTGAACGTTTTCGTCCAGACTCTGGATTCAGCTGCCTCCCCCACTACTTCTCCTCTTCAGGTTCCTGCTAGTCATGGTGCAGCCGCCTCTTCCCCTCCTGTTTCTGCCCCTCCTTCTCCTTTTCTTTCCTCCCCATCAGGTCCAGCCTCTCCCTCTTCTCCTTCTGCACCTTCCTCATCATCTTTTTCTGCCTCTGATTTCCAGAGCCTTGAGGAGTTCCTGGACTTTTTTGTGCAGACTTTAGATCCAGCTCCTGCCTCCCCCACGGTTTCTCCTCTTCAGGTTCCTCTCATCCTTGGTGCAGCTGTCCTCTCTCCTCCTGGCAGTGCTCCTCCTTCTCCCCTCCTTGCCTCCCCCTCACACTCTTCCTCCCCAGATCCAGAGGAGTTGGTTTTAGGTCCAGATCTCCCTTCTCTCTCTGTGTCAGATGTCCGTGACCCAGATTGCCCTACAGTTCCTAACACTGCTTCTCCGACTCCCTCTTCTTCCCACAAACGTAGCAGGTCCGAGTGCTCTGCTGAGAACAGCTCCAAGAGGCGGCGCTGCTCGTCTCCTGCTCCTGCCTTCTCCCCTCCTCCCCTCTCCCCTGCTCCCTCTTCTTCCTCCCGCTCTCCTTCGTCCTAACCTTCCCAGCCCCTCTCTCTTCTCTCCTTCCTTGTGACTCTCCCTCCCTCTCTCCAATCCTACCCCTGCCTGCCACTTCTTCTCCCTCCCACCCATCCCCTCCCCCTATCTCCTCCCTGCCTCCTCCTCCTCTTCTCCCTGCCTTTCTTTCCTCTTACCCCATCTCTGTCCTCTAAATTCCTCTGATCCTTCTTCCACAGTTTTCTTCCTTAGATCAGATCCAGTTCCAGAGGACCAAAATGTTTGCCCTTCCTCATTATTTTCTTTCTTCTGCTTCCTGAATTCCCCCTCTCAGGAATCTCAACAGCAAGAGTAGAGCCAGACATCTGTGTCCAGAGCAGTGGAGGCAGGCTCCTTTTGTGGCTATGACACAAAAGGAGCCTGCCTGACCAGTGGCAGCTGTCACAATTTCAGGGCAGCTGTAAACTTTAGTGGTATTTTCAGTAACAACACGTACACTGGTACAGCTTCCTTTGTAAATTCAGCGGAGAGTATTTTGACCCACTGCAAAATGATCTCTGCTGAGAAGAACAATCAGGGCACCACGTGCCACTAAGCTTCCAGCTGCCACTGGACATGCCACATAATTTCTATCTGCCACTGGACATGCCGATAAACTTCTAGCTGCCATTGAAAATGCCAGTGGCAGAACAGAAACAGGTGAATTTAGGAGGACAGACATCAGTGTCCAGAGCAGACCCAGGTGAACTCTGGAGGACAGACATCAGTGTCCAGAGCAGACCCAGGTGAACTCTGGAGGACAGACATCAGTGTCCAGAGCAGACCCAGGTGAACTATCGAGGATAGACATCACATGTTCTTTAAAAATCTGTTCTCTCAACACTAAATTGTATTTGTGCAGCTGCAGAGAGGTGCCGCAGAAGTACTTGTCTTCATTGAGTGCAGATAGCATTGGGGAGCAGAGCCACAGTTGCTGGATCACACGTCACAGAGCTCATCCAGGACAAGCACTCAGGACCTGATCCAAGATAGGTCCTGTGACTGGAGCAGGCCCACAAAGGTCTCACAACACTGCAGGTAATGCTCCACATGTGTCTGTTTTTCCCTGGTCTCTTAAGCACTTGCCTTCCTTGAGTGCAGAGCGTCGGGGAGTGGAGCAACAGATGCTGGATCACACGTCTCAGAGCTCACTGGACATCCTGGACAAGAGGGACAGCACACAGGACCTGATCCAAGCTCAGAGACTGGAGCAGCCCTGCTGGTAAGGGTGGTCTATGTATGAAGTGAGGCAAAAACATATTTGTCACTTACTGACAGTTTTCCCACCATTGAGAAGGTTTCTTATTTCAACTTCATCTGAATTAATTCATTTGTATATTGGTGGAGACAATAAGTGCTCTGTTCCCCATGTGTCTGTCTATTCCCTTGTCTCTTATTCTCACTCTTGCGTGTTCCAGGATTGTTTTTTTTTGCTGGAGGAATCTCTGAGCAGGCACACCTGACTCCTACAATCAAGTTCTCCAGGTCTCACAGGCAAATTTTTCCTTCTCTACAGTGGTACAGACCTATTTAAGCTTGAATATTATGAAACTTCAAACTTTAGAGCAGAGACTACTTCCTTTGTAAACTCAGCAAAGAGCATCTTGACCTACTGTTGCTGTGCTTGTTTTTCCAGCTACACCAAGGACAACACTCAGGGCACCTTTACCTGCCCTGGGGGACATTCAGGCTAAAATGCTACCAAGCTTCTAGCTGCTACTGAAAATGCCAGTGGCAGAAAGAGTGGCAGCGTCTGATCAGCTGTGGCAGCGCCTGATCAGCTGTGGCAGCTGCTGGTGCCACAAAAGGAGCGTGCCTTCTCTCATCCAACACATACTCAGGTGAACTCTTGAGGACAGACATCGCATGTTCTTTTAAAAATCTGTTCTCTCAATACTAAATTGTATTTAGTGTTAAATAGTATAGAGCAGTGGGGAGCGGAACAACAGATGCTGGATCAACTCTAGATCTGGATCTCAGACCTCACAGGGCATCCAGGACAAGGGGGGACAGCACACAGGACACTGCAGGTAAGGGTGGTCTATGTATATATTTGTATATAATGTGGGGCAAAACCATAGTTTTCAGTTACTGACCCACCACAAAGAGGGGTTCTTATTACTTCACGGGGCGATGAGGCAGGAGGAATATGTTCACACTGTGTCCCTCGTTGTTAGTCCTGGTTTAATCCTGGTTTTTTATTCCATTGATTCTTATATATATATATCTTTGCCCCATGTGTCTGTCTGTTCCCTGGTCTCTGAGTCTCCTGGTCTCTGTCTTGCAGGATTGGTGTTTTGCTGGTGGGATCTCTGAGCAGTTACACCTGACTTCTACAATCAAGCTCTCCAGGTCACACTGCCAGATTGTTCTACTGTGACGAGGTGAGCTGAAGGAAGGACCCAAAATGCAAGAATGCAAAAGAATAATGATTTAATTATGATAAAAGTCCATTGAAAAAACAAAATCCAAACTAAACACACGTATCAGGAACAAAGACAATGAACCAGCAACAAATGGGGGAAGAGCACAGAGCACATAAAGACACAGAGACACAGGTGAAACACATTAGGGCAGGCAATCAACTGTGGAACAAGTCGGGAAGTAAAACTAAAAACAAAATACAAAATCCACACCATGACATCTACAGTGGTACAGACCTATCTTTAGCTTGAATCTAGTGAAACTTCAAACTTCAGCTTGTGTTAACATGTTTTGCCTTGTTATTCATTCAAATTGTCTTTTTTCCCAGACCACCTTCCTGCTCCAGAGACCCACCAGCCCAGCCAAGTCAAGCGCTCAATAAATGTTTTCCCTTTTTCCTAACCTGCAATGTCTGCTTTGGTGTCATTTTACGAATCTTAATTTCAGTCTCAAATTCAATTGGTCCATATTTTGAAATATGAATATAAAAGAGAAAGTACATTACAGTATACAGTCAGTCCAAAAAGGTGTATTGGTGAAAGGAGGTTCCTTCTCAGAGCAGAGGTGTAGTGACATGAGACTCATTTTAAACTTGTGACTTTTGTGTGTAAACTATTCATAGGTTTAGGTTTATTTTAGTTTATTCAAACTGATTCGTCAACCACAAATTTACAATGACTTACAATTTACAATTACATAAAGGAAAGAAACAGGTGTGATTGCAATTATATCATCTTTTATACAATACAAGTGCTGAGGAAGGCCAATTCTATCATTGGTTCTTTGGACCACCCCCTGAGGGAGCAGTTTGAACTTTTACCCTCAGGACGACGCTATAGGGCTCTTGGGTGTAGGACAAAACGGTTGGGAACTACATTTATCCCAACAACTGTGAAGCACCTTAACAGCACATAGCACTTTTACAAACCTTTGCGCTGAAAATTTGTTTTGTGACATTCTCTTTTGTTCTTGTTTTCTCAATGTTGTGATTTTACTGTATCTGCCTGTTTTTTTTTTTAGATGATTTATGCTGCAAAACCAATTTCCCCTAGTGGGACAATAAAGACAACTTGAACTTGAACTTGAATACAATACAATTTATTCTTGTATAGCCCTAAATCACAACAGAAGTCATCTCAGAGGACTTAACAAAACCATTGAATCACCAACATAGATCAGAGAATCAACAGTTAGGACACAAAAAGAATATAGAACACATGTTGATAAATGTCATTTACATTTTGTAGAATGTTAAAGTGTCCTGGATCATCACCACAGTCCTTCTAGTTGGACACTAACTGCCCAACGGACCCTCCTGCATCGGCAAGGAAAAACTCTTTAAAAAAACCCAGTGGGAAAAAGTGAGAAACCTCAGAAAGGGATCCGCTCCCACGGACGGACGGGCTATAGATCCGGGTTAATTACGGACTCAAGGTCTGGAACAAGTCTTGATGATCCACCCGGAAGTAGAAAATCCTCCTATATTTTTAATTCTCAAAAGTATTCTACAGTATATGTACAACATTGTGGCTAATGTGAACTTTCATTTTCACTTTCAGCAAGCCTTATTTTATACACTCTTTCCAGCTAGAACAAAATAGAATAAATTATGAGGCAGATATCCCCGTGAACAATGTCGATCTCCAGTCGCCTCATTCTCCGTCTTTGGGACAAATACTATCGTCACATATTTACACCAACAACACAGTTTCTACAAGTCACGGGAAGCTAACACAAACTAGCACGGACGCTTATTTACTGTCTATGGACCACCCGCTGGACTCAGCGAGAGGCTGCATGGCAGGGCTGGACTGGGACAAAAAAAACGGCCCGGGCATTTTTTTTCCTTTTAAGCGGCCCAGGCAACTCAAAAGGTTCAAGGAGCCATATTTGACAAAAAACAAATAAACAGCGTTGTATAAGGCTTATATGAAGGTAACAGGGGCTGAAGCTGTATTAGCTACATTAGCTACATTAGCTACCTTAAGGTTGCCGACCCCTGCTGTAGACTCACCACCTGCAGAGGATCAGCGAGGGACTGGTGCTATAAGCACTGGGTGGCAGCCCTGAATGCACACCCCCGACCCAGACTTGAATAAATAATGGGGTAAAGAATGAATGAAGGACCCTTATATGACGGCAGATGTTCAACCAAGTAAAAGTCTTTTAAAAAATTGTCCACAAACCTTAGGTAACCATGGTAAACATGAAGGAGATTTTGAAACTGTTGCACATGTACAGCCAGACCTGGACTTTGGGTTGAGTGTTTACTTCTAATTCAACATCAACATTAATAATCAGATGTCACTACATAGAATTGTCTAGCAAATATTTCTTTCACAATTACTCACTACTTGCTGGATGCTTGTTATAACGGTATTTAGATGTATACATGATAAAACTCAGTCCCCAAATATTCAAGATTGTGTGTAAGCTGTCTGCTTACTTACTACACCTATTGGCATGTGTATATGTCAGAAGCCTTCCATAGGTGGCGCTCTAGAGTCATATAAGTTGTGTAGTTCACACCATTACGCTCAAGCCATCACCAACTGTAAGTGATGTGAGTTTAATTTCTGTAGGTCTGTGGTCAGGAGAGCAACAATCATGGAGAAAATCCACACCACCTCAGAGGAAAACGATGAGGAAATTCTAACTTTTTCTTGATGGCTGTATAACTTCAATCCGTCCAGATGGAGAAATTATGTGGTGGAAGTCTCTGCGATGAAAAACCAGGGACTAGATGAAATTCAAAACGACAACACCTTGTACCCTATTGCTTTCCGACAGAGACCTCATATTGGGAAATGTATTTTAGTGTCATTGCGTTAATCTAATAATAACCTAATAATACTGATGTGAGTCTCAGCTTTGTAAGTCTGAGCCTATGGCAAAGAGAGCAGGCTATAGTTCACCCCTAGTGGTCATCAGTGGGACATGCACCCTCTGCGTGGTGTAACATTTTTGCTTGTATGGATGTAAAGATTTGACCCGGTGACTTTGATGCAGTATAATGTTTGGTTCAAAGCCTCCCATAGGTGGCGGTCTAGAGGTAATATTAGTGTGTATTTTCACGTAATACAGTTCTACAGAAAGTGATTAATGGAGGAAAAACTACCAAGAGGTGGATTAATTAAACACAACAAACCATTTATTCCCAATAAATAAATACACTTACTTTGCAACACAAAAGTTATTATGGGTAGACCAGGACTCAAACGATACATTTTCTGCTTCGGAGTCCGTCATATACCGTCTGCGCCACACAGCTGTTGTGAGATGTGTCATCCATTGTATTATTAGTACTAACTTGAAGCCTTGATACATAACATAACACTAGCCTGCCCAGGGACTACAGGTGGAAATTAGCTTTGCTATAACCTGGTACATGCATCTCTCCTTTGTGTTAATCAGCAGCATGTTTCACTATAATTTGTATTTAGGCAAGAGGTGCGCCCCTGGTGGTCAGGTCGGGTATTGTAGCTCTGAGTGTAATACAACTATATGAAAAAAACTGCTTACTTGCACGAAAACGGTGAAGATTTTCTAACTGTTTTGCGATGATTATATAACTTCAATCCATCCAGATTAGGAAATGACATGGTAGAAGTCTGTGCGATGAAAATCCAAGGACTAGTACGAAGCCAAACATGCGACAACTTGAACTGCCTGTAGGTGGCGCTGTTGCACTCACAGTTGTGTGTTGTATATCGTTGTGTTCAGGGTCATACGCTGTATTACTCTATTCATTTTTAGCCTCATCGGACAAACATTTTGCCCTAAAAAAGCTCATTTATTCACTTTCAGGCGCCCCCGGTGGTCAGGTGTGGGACGTACAACTTTTGCGTAATGTAATGTTTTGCTCGTCTCGGTCCAGAGAATACACTCAGCGATTTTCGGGCCGATCCGAGCACTAGTGCCCTATTACTTTCCGACAGGTGGCGCTAAAGAGCTCAAATTGGGCGAATGATTTTAGTGTCATTGCGTTCAGGCCATAACCTAATATTACTGATGTGAGTCTCAGCTCTGTAGGTCTGAGCCTGTGGCCCTCAGGGCTCAGCGAAAATGGCCAAAACGAAGGCCTTATTCGCCATGGCGAGGGACAAAAACGGTGAAGATTTTCTAACTTTTTTTCGATGATTATATAACTTCAATCCGTCCAGATTGGGAAATGACGTGGTAGAACTGTGTGTGATGAAAAACCAGGGACTAGTTCGAATTTCTAAATGAAAAGTCAAATTAGTGGCGAAACTTCGGCCCATCATGGCCGACTTCCTGTTGGTCCCAGACATGTGCTTAGAACGGCTTTTATGCTCGTCTCATAGAGATCTATCACTCATCCGAATTTCGTATACCTACTCAAAAATTTGAAAAAAAATCCCCAGAGGGTCAAAAAAAATGAAATTTCTAGGGGGCGTTATAGAGTCGGCGAGCGTCGGACAATCTGGAAACGTTCATTTTATCAAATTTTTCGCCGAACCGGTCGTTTTAGACCCCCCATGTGCAGACTTTCGTGCATGTCTTCAGGGTCAAAAATCGAATTGAAGTTGCGGAAAAAAAAAAAGAAAAAGAAAAAGCCGCAAGCGGCGATGAAAGGCCTCGCCCCTCTTGCGACCGCCTCCTGGGCGCCGGTCCCACAAGCGTCACGCCGACGAATTGGCAGCCCGATTTGACCAGGATTATGTATATAAAAGCTCATTTATATGATAAAGTGCGTCCCTAGTGGTCACCTCCGGGACATGCACCCTCTACGTAGAGTAGTATTTTGCTCGTGCAGATGTAAAGATTTGATTTTGCAACTTTGGTGAAGATCGGAAAAGTTTAGGTCAGAAGCCTTCCATAGGTGGCGCTGTAGAGTCATATTAGGTGTGTGTTTTCACACCATTACTCTCAGGCCATTACCAACTGTTAGCGATGTGAGTTTCAGCTCTGTAGGTCTGAGCCTGTGGTCAGGAGGAGAAAACGATAACAAAATTTCTAACTTTATGCGATGATTGCATAACTTCAATCCGTCCAGATGGAGAAATGACATGGTAGAAGTCTGTGCGATGAAAATCCAGGGACTAGTACGAAGCCAAAAATGAGACACATTGAACTGCCTGTAGGTGGCGCTGTTGCACTCACAGTTGTGTGTTGCATATCGTTGTGTTCAGGTCATATACGCTGTATTTCTGAATTTCATCATTTTTAGCCTCATCGGGACAAAAATTTTTGCCCAAATATATCTTTTGTTTTTAGATCATCGTGGGGTAGTTGGGTGTGGGGTGGTTGGGGTGTCGTGGTTCTCTTTTCCTGGGGTGTGTGTGTGTGGGGGGGGGGGGGGGGGGGGTTTTATTTTTGGGGAATGGGTGGATAGGGTAGAAAAAAAAATGGGATGGGGGG